ATGAGTAAGAGTCCTATACACGTTTTTTCATGTTTTCACTATATTAATCATTGAATTTCTTCTGATAAAATTTTACCACCCACATTAAAGACATGATTGTCGGTAAAGCTGCAAACTGCAAACTTTATTTAAATAATTTTCATATGCTCCGTATTTGTTTATCCATAGAAGATGAACAGATATAGAGTTGCCAGATGAACTGTATACTAGCATCAAAATAGTTTATTTCCCTGTAGCAAAATTTGACAAGAAAATATGTAATATTAGATTATCATTACTGATATAATAAAATGCTTAATTTTGCTATATTACATATTTAAAGAATTATATCATAAAATTTTTTGTATTAAAAATTAATCTTTGATTATAATATTTATATCCCAATAAATTTTATAATTTTTTTTCATAATAAATCAAACGTGTAATAAATATAATCATTTTGGCGAAAACTAATCACGTCATATATTTTTATTTAATATAGCAATTATTTAATGATAATAACTAATTTTATAATATTTCTATTAAATCTGAAAAATATTCCAAATATCGAAATTGCAATTAATAAACAAAAAATAGATTTTTTTTAAAAAAATAATATTAGTAATTTATATATTATTTATCAAATTTTTCGAAAATATAAGATAATTTTTTAATTTAATTTAATAATGAAATTATGATTATTAATATCTTTATCGGTATTATTAATAATATTGTTAAGATAATAGATAAAAATAACTACAATAAAATTCTTATTTTTTTTCATTTAAATTTATTTTTAGATAAAGTTTATGTTTTACCTAAAATGCAGTACAAATATAATATCTGTTATTTTTTTATTTCCATTTCTAAATCCACTCATAAGTTCCATCAGTAATCACTATTATTATTTCTTCCATTATTATTATATTATTTATTTTTTTTTCTGTTTTTTTAATATTCAGATTTTCCCGACAACTCTAACAATCATAATAAAGAATAATTTTTAAAATAATTTTCAAATAAGAAATAAAAAAAAATATGTATTTTAAAATTTATTTTGTATTTTATATTTATATGAAATTTTATATTTTATATTTAAAGAATTGTATCATAAAATTTTTCGTATTAAAAATTAATTTTTGATTATAATATTTATATCCCAATAAATTTTATAATTTTTTTTAATGATCATAATAAATCAAACGTGTAATAAATATAATCATTTTCAAAAATAATATTTATTCAATATTTTTTTCATATTTTTTTATTACTTCATTCATCTTTTAGTTTAAGATTTTTTTTTTCTTTAGTTTTTAATTTTGCATAACTAAGACTTGATTTATCGAAATCCAATACCATAATACCTAAATCACCGCTATATCTATTTTTAGCTACCTATAAGCAGATATTTTAAAATAATACATTTGAAATAATTTTCTGTGGATTTTGTTTATATTACATACTTGCAAATATTTTTTGCCTCGAATACTCGTAAGTCTATTATCTTGAATAATTAGTATATTATCTGCTTCTTGACTTGCTTTTGCACTTCCAAAAATCGATGATGTTGTCAATTCTTCAGCGCTACGTTCTTTTCGTGGATGTATTATCATTGTTACATGACAATTGTATACAGTAGCAAAATTTCTAAATTTTGCTATTATATTGTCTTGCTTCCAAAATCTATTAATGTAATTATTTTAGATAAAAAACAATTACATTATTTTAGATAAAACATACATTTCCACATGATAATTCTATACCTATCTACATATTTTGAATCATTAGTCATTCCCATCATAAATTGAACGTTATCAATTACAACATGAGCAATATCATGTACATATGTTGCATGCTCAACTGCCTATAAATATATCATATATAATAAAATGTATCATAATTTTAAATTCAAACAAAAAATAATTAATTTTTATAATTGTATTTATAATTATACTTACATCCATTACTATTTTTATATTTTGTTCACCATGAAATGTCATGAAATAAATTGGCAATTTTTCAAAAGCATTTGCATATGCATCAAAATTTTCAAGATTTTCATTTAAAGGTACACCTACCATTTGTTGTAACATTGTTCTTATTAATCTTACATTTCTTATTTCAAAACTACCCCATAATGTATTGACACCTTGCATTGCTAAATCTAAAGAATATTCACTCATAAAGGTTGTTTTACCACTTCCTAATAAAAACAGAAAATTCATTCATAGAAATGAGATTCTTGATTTGTATATTATCATATATTATATATTGTATATTATACCAGTTGGCCCAGTTAATATAGTGAATTCACCTCTTCTATGACCTTTTAGTATACGATTTAAAGTTGTATATCGCTTCCATTTTACTCCTTGTACTTTGTCATTGTTTTGTAAATCAATTAAGATATCTTCTTTAAGATCTTGAAAGGAAATTATACTTTTATGCCATAAAGGCTGAGCATTCTTTAAAATATCATTAAAATCATAATTCATTTCAGCAGCTAATTTTGGTCGAGGTTGTAAATCTGTTGGTCTAATAAGATAACATCTTTTCTCGTTTAACTTTTTTGCAAAATGTCTAGCAGTGTACCAACTTACTTCATCATTTCCAAACCATAAAATTAACTTTTTGAATGATTCCATATATGGTAACAATTGTTGAGGTAAACTTCTTAAATTATATGGAAGACATATAATTATATTTGCAGATTGTTTTAACATTATAGCTAGCAAATCATCTATTGTGCTCACAATTATAGCAGTACCATCATTTTTACTATAATATCGTCTATATTCAATACATCCACTAACTTCAGAAGCAGGAACTGTTTCTTCCTTTTGTGGTTTAGTTGAAAATAATTTATATCCAACTATAGATGTATTTAAGCCTATCAGTGGAAAATATATTACACTGATTGTTTTGTTATAAAAACAATTTAACTGTGACATATCCTTTTGTAAAACATGCTATAAAAAAATTATTTAAAAAATATATTTTTAGAATTAACAATATAAATATAAATATATAATAACAATATAAAATAAATATAAATTTAATTTATTAATGTAATTATAATTTATAATGTAATTATAAATTATTTTAATGAAATTATTATTTCATTACAGGAAATGAAAAATTATTTAGAAAAATATTGTATTCTTCTGCAGACAGATCTCGTATGCTTTGACAATCACTTATTATATGTTTCCATCTTTCTATATAATTTTCTTTTAAATTACATTTATTTTTTAATATATCAAGTTCCTTAAGATTTTCATTTGATTTTTTTAAGAATAAAAATTTTTCCAATATATTCCAGGAACCCATGGATTTACATTTATCACATATAAAAAATCCTATAATTAATTTCTTAAATGAAATTTTATTATAAAATTATTTTTATTTTAACTTTAAAATTCATGTACCTGTATTTTTATTTATATAAATTTTTGATTTTGTCTTTATAGTATTACATATAGGACAATCTATTATAAAACATGTGTATCCTTCTAAAACATTTGAGCATTGTTGTTTAAGAAAGTATTTTAAACGTGATAAAGATATATTCTTCAATATAAATTCTTCATTATTTGTATGAAAATATTTTTTACTAATAAAATATTTAATGTGTTGTGTTTTTTGAGCACAAATTTGTAATAATAATTTAAATAACATATTAAATATATAAAAAAAATAACTCTTTATTAATTTTCTTCAAAATAAAAATAAAATTTATCATCTACTTTTTTCTTATAATATATTCATTTATATATTGTATATTAAATTTTTATTATTTTTATTAAAAATAATATTAATTATATAAATCAATTCGTGAAATTGATAATATTTATAAAAATTTTTATATAATAAAAATAAAAATAGAAAATTTAATTTTAAATTGTATAGAATTGTAATTAATGAATTCAAATACATAAATTTATGTTGCAATTTATATTTTTTTTATATTTTATTTTATATTTTATTTTTAACAATATAAACATCACATATATGTATGTAAAAAATATAAATTATTTAGTATTTTCCAAATTTTTAATTAAATTATTTTTATTTTATTTATATTATATTATATTCAATTATTCTTTATTTATTATTATATTTTATCTTGTATATATAAAATTGTATATATTTTTTAAAAATGCACATATTGTTTATTATGAACATGCAATAAACACTATTTACATCAATACGCAGAGACATCTCATGGCCAAATAATACTTTATTCAATCATAAACCATGTAAGAAGAAAATTTATTACATTATAGTATATTTAAAAATAAAAACTTAGATCAAGAATAAAGATACTTATTTGTATTTATTTAACAAATAAAAATTGAATTTTAATTTCATTAAAATTGAAAAAATAAGAATATGATGGAGATGATTTCATTCTATTTCTATCTTATATTCAATTAAATTTTTTTTACATCAACTTGTGTTTTGCTATTTTAATCTTTAAAATCGACTTCAAAGATATTCTACTAATATATTAAATATATAATATATTCTAATATATTTTTTATGTTATATGTAATTTTATATATATATGAATTAAATGAAATAATATATATTATACATATTATTTCAATTTAATATTTCATATTAAATAAAATTATATATATGATTTTAATTACAAAAAAAATATAATTTAATTTTTTTAAAAGTATTTATTTCATTCATACATTATATGGATTAAAACAAAATATCAATTAATATATAAAACTTTTTACAATAAATTATATTTCTTATTATATTTTTTGTTTTATATATATATATATATATATATATATATATATATATATATATATATTTGGTTATATAAGTTTCATTCAAATACGTATTGTTAATTTAAGTGAATATAAGTTTATATTTTGCCAAATACATATATATTCATTTTAAAAATTGTTCACATTTTTTCAAATCTATTTTTTGAAAAAATAATTATATTGAAATTAATTTAATAATATTAAATAATAATGTCCAATTTATGATTTATTGTTTTCATTAGGAGGATTATAAAATGAAAGTTTTACTTCTTCCTGTCTGTGAAAAAATAAATTAATATAAGTATATATTTTGAGTAAAATATAATTAATATATGATATAAAATTAAAATTAAAATAGGAAGATAGTTTTATTTTGCATCATTTCTAAAAATTTGAGATGATGTCCTCTAAGATGAAAAATATCATTCAAATATTACCTTTCAGTATTATTAGTTGTATTATCTGCATCTGTTAATATACCAATTTCATATACCATTGCTTTTATAACATATCTGCAAAATATAAACAAAAAAAAAAAGATTATAAAATTTGGATAAATATATACATATATGTTTGTTTAAGAATGTTAAGATTATAAAATATTCTTACAAATTATCACCAATTGAATTATTTGATGATGATGATTCATTTGCTAACATAGCTGTTGTATTATAATTCATATTAGATACAGATAATGTTATACTTAATTGTATACATATATTAAATAAAAACAATATTAAATACAACATTTGAAAAGTTTTAAAACTTCGATCAATTTCACTGTTACACAACATTTTCAACAATGTCTTGATTTTAAAGCAAGCATTCTTTTATACTAGATATTAGAGGCTCATTAGCACTACTCCCTCTTCTCAATAAGTTACAAAATACATTATGATACATATTTTCATATTGCTCACAAATAGGAATGGAAAATTTTTAAGAGAAAAATCCTTATAAATAATATATTTAAAATAGATATAATATATATATTATATAATTATATATATATGTAAAATGATATGTAAAATATATATGTATTTAATGTTTTTTTAAAGAAAAATTTGTAAATATAAATTTGTAAAAATATTATTATTATTATATATTATTATTATATATTATATAATGTTGCAAAATAAATTATAAGAAAAATTTAAACATAAACTAATAATTATGGTAATTTAATTTTTGACTTAAATATTATTTTGACATAAATTAAAATAAATTTCTTGTGTAAATATATTAAAATATATAATTTTTAGCAATTATACTATTGATTATTAGTTTAATTATTATTCTTCAAATATATATTTTATAATTTATATTTTTATATTAATATATTTATTTATATATTATAATGATATATATATATATAGAGCAAAGAATACGGAATATTTTTCTTGCAAGTGCAATAAGCAAATATATATATATATATATATATGTATATATATATATATATATATATAGATACATATAATGTAAGTTTCCATACTTATTAAATTAACACTTAAATGCAAATAAAGTATTTTATGCTATACATATCATAAATATATATTTGAAATAGAATTGTGAAAATATTCAAAATATGAATTTGAATTGTCAAAAGATGTAAACATGTTTAAAAATAATTTTACATATAATTAAAAGAGAAAAGCTCTAAAATACCATAAATTTTAATATTATATTTAATAATTATTAGTAAGTTTAAATTAACACTTAATAATTATTTTACATTTTAATAATTTTTAATATGATATTCAAATGTAATCAATAATGTACAATATATAATAATGTATAATGTATAATAATAGTATATTAGTATATTTTATTAATATATAAAATTGCTAAATTTTAATATAATATAATATATATATTATTATATACATAATTATATATATATATAAATTAAATAATGTTTAAAAATTCCATATTTTTAGAAAAATTATATAAGAAAGAATAATAAATTTGATATGTATTTATAAAAAATATATTTATATATTTTTTTATATTTTTGTGACATATGAATATAATTTTATTTTATTTAAATATAAATTAAATATAAATAAAATAAAATAAAATAAAATAAAATTCATATATCATATCATATCAAAGTATCAAATTGAAAGTTTATGATTTGCAAAGATATTTACAGCATTTTACTATTAAAATAAAAAATAATAATGGTTTTTTCTATATTAATAATTTAATAAGTGCAAATTTTGAATTATATCATTTTTCTAACAACTATGCAATATTTAACAGTATTTAAAAAAATCAATATATTCTGTATTATATTTATTTATATTGTACAATGTGAGTGTATACTATCTTTTCTTAATAAATTACATATTTTATATAGAAATAAATAAGAGAATAAATATAAAATAAATATAAAAAAAAATGATTTTAATTTATTTTATTTTTATATATTATTTTATTATTATTATATATATTATTTTTATATTTATAAAATTTAATTTTGAATTAATGAATTGTTTTGACTTAAGCAGGCAACAAAATTTTTTAAATATTATAATTATATATTTACGATATATAATTTAAAGATTTACTATTAAATAAATATATTGAAAATTAAATAATGAAGTCTAGTTATTTTAATTATATAAATATTAACGAATTGTTATAGTTTTATCTTTATTTATTAAATTTAGTAAATAGGATAGTATTTAAAATTTCCCGCTCCATTTAAAATGTATTAATAGCATATTATATTGTATTGAATTTGCTAAAAAAATTATTATAATAGATTATTTTTATAGAATACGAGATGTATATAAGAGGTAATGTACATTGAAATAGTCTATTATTTTTATTAAACGGCATTATTAATATATAAGCTTTAAATCATTAAATACATGAAAGGTTAGTCATCTGATCTTCTATATGAATATGCTTGAAGCTTTAAGATCTTCTAGTAAGGTTATACGAAAATATATAAGTAACCTTAATGTTCGCTAATATCGCACAAATTGTGCATAATGTATCAACAAAAGGAGAAAAACGAAATAGAACTTTTTCAGGAAATGGTAATTAAGTTTACTCATCATATATTATGCTTATAATAATATATTTATACATATTATATTTATAGTATTTAAAAACAATATTTTTTTGATATTAAATTGTAGAAAGAAAGGAAAATTGTTTAAAATTAGAATAAAAAGTTATTGATTAATTGTAGATTCCTAATGCAACACCAGAAACTATGACGATTTTTCAAGATTGTATGAAGACAGAGGCTGTTTTTAAATCTGCTCTTCCTTATTCATTTTTAAGTTCATTAGTAACATATTTGATATTACCTAAAGCTTCGGGTATGAGTAGACCTATTTTGACAACATTTGTAGGTATGTCAATGTATTTATTTGGCAAATTGACATATACACCTGTATGTTATCAGAAAGCATTTGGTACATCACAACCATTAATTAATTCTAATGAGAGAAGGTATTATTTATTTTTATAATATATTGTATAATATTTATTTTTTAATTAGTTAGTAAAGTAATTTGAAATAATTTGAATATTTAGAAGACAATTGCAAAATACTGATGATATTGATAGCTTTGGTCATCAAGATCAAGAAAAATATCCTATATATTTTGATAATGTAACAGAAGAAAAATCAGTATGGGATAATCTTGATACGCAATTTGAGAGCAATAGTAAGTTTATTAAAGAAATAACTTGACTATTTTTTTTCAATAATTAAATTTTTAAATTATATTTGAAGCAAATGAATTTTATGATGCAACTGATAATTTACAAGATGAATTAAAAAATGAATCTCAAGAAAAGCAGAAGAAGCGTGTGACATATGATGATTTATGGATTCAACACAGAAAACAAGAAATGAAGAATCAATTTGATGATATTGAAAAGTATAAATTAATTTTTAATCAATTAAATAAAGAAATAAATTACTTTTGTATTTTTTTAATTTTATTCTTTCTTAATAATTGTTAAATTTTTATTATATATATATTATTTTATATGTATAATCTCTTTTTCAATTTTATAAAATATTATTGTTCTTATTTTAATTTCATTTATAGATATAAAGTAACGCAAACATCAAAATTATTGGAAAGTCAACAGAATAAACTTCCAAAAGAATCAGCAATTCCTGAAGGAGAATTCGATGAAAAAAATATTTGGAGTTGAACATGTGTATTTTTAAATTAACTTTTAATAAAAGTTTTGGTAGTAAAAATAGCAACACAAATAAATATATTAAAATTCATAAAATTTTTTCATCAATTTTTTTTTATGTTAAATTTTTTTTTGCAAAAATTTTTTTTGTATTTTTCAAAACATTTTGAAAGCTGGTGTTTATATTTGAAATAAATATTATATCTATAATTCATTAATAAGCATATGTAACAATATGAATAAATTGTATTTAGAATTAAATAATAAATTGCATGTTTGAAATATTTACTTAATATACTTATAATATATATTACTATAATATATATATAATACTTATATATTGTCACATAATAGTTTATTGTAATAGTTTATTGTAAATGTAAAAGTAAATATTACAAATGTAAGATTAATTTAATTTATGATGTAAATTTTTATGATGCATTTTTCATAATTTCGTAACAATTTTTTATCTTATGATATTTTTAATATTTTTTTTTATATAAAACATGAGCTATTTTTATAGATCTATCGTTTTTTGTTTCTTAATTTTGATATAAATAATAAAATTAATATGAAATATTATGTTAAATTTTTTATATATTATCATTAAAATTAATAACATAATAAAATTAAATTATGACGCGTTTGTTTATTTATTAATGTATATTTTAAGCTTAATATTAGCTTAACAAAATTAATATGTTGATTTCCATCAAAGTAGATATTTTTATTAGTTATTTATTAATTTTATGACAAAAATTGTAATAATATAATTAAAAAACCATGTATTTCATTTTCTTTTATGTTTTAGAATCGAATTAATAAATATATTATTAATGTATGTGATATATTATATCATATATCATGGATATATTGTTCGGATATTTTTTTCTAATTTATTATAAAATTTCATTATTTTTTTATTTCAAATATATATAAAAGAATTGAATAAAATAAATTGTATTCGAAAACGAATGTAAACGAATTGTATTCTGATTATCGCAATAATTGCAGATGAAATAGAAAACAATTGTTGTTTATGTGTATATATGTGTATATATGTGTACATATTTATACATAAATGCAAATTTATGTATAAAATAATTATGTATAAAATGAAAAATTATGGAAAAAATTCTACTTCTAAAATATTATTTTTTATGTATATAACAAAGATATGTATAATTTCTTAAATTATAAAAAAAAAGCTATTAATTTTAATTAAAATAGTTAATTAATGTAGAGATTACTCGATCTCCTCAATAAGTTTTTAGATGTGAATGATTTTATATATCGAAAAAATATAAATAAGAGAAGAAATATAATATACCATTTGAAGATTATGCTGTTACAAATGTCAATTCTAGCATTGAAAAGCAATTGAAAAACATAAGTCCGAATAGAAAAAAGTAAAGATAATTATGAAATAAAAGAATATAAGTTTGATAAGCTCAATCTTTGTAATCATCATATTTATTCTTATATAGTTGATAATTGTTTTCATATTTATTTATTTTTTTATTATGAAATCTAAGTATGAAAAATAAAAAGTACGAATAATAAAAAAGAAAATAAATGAAAAAAAGAATTGGAAATTCACTTTGTTTATTCTTATTATTATATTCAAAGCGACAATATATCTTGTTAAGCAGCAATATATTGATATTTTGATCATAAAACTAGAAAAGATCGATAAAATATTATTTATTTATTTTAAATATTGTTTTATAATTACGAATTTATAATTACATTTTTTTCCTTTGCAAGAAAACAAAAAATTGAAAAATTTTAATAATAATATATTTAATGAACAATAAGAACAAATAATTTAAACACAATAAAAATGCAAAGCTTTTATTTTTTAACTTATTAAAGATAAATAAATTTATACTCCAATATTTGAGAATGTATAAAACATTTTCATTAAACATAATATAGAATGTTCGGTAAAAAAATTATATATTACGATTTATCGAATGATAATTATTACTATTTTAAAGAAAAGTGTTCTTACAAAGAAGAAATATAATAAGAATATGTAAATACTCATAAATCAATACAATTACTTATAAGAATGAAATATATAAATATATTAGTTTAATATTATTTTCAATTCTTGAAAATATAATGAAAAATTGATTTGCATCACTTTTTGTATAAGCAAAAATCTTTCTACTAATTTTTTTAATTTTAATTCAATGAACAATTTTCGAATTTTCTCTATCTTTTGATATTCATTCTCATGATTTCCATGTAGATATTACTGTAATGTAATAATGTAACTGAGAATCATTTAATCAAAACGTTATTATATTTGTAAACATATATTATTAGTGTATTATTAATAGCATGTATTATTAGTAAATTAATCTAACAAATCGTTAATCTACGAGAATTCGTACGATCACGAGTTCACTGAGAATCGCGCAGAGGGCTGCATGTAGCCAGCCATTGGCTATCGAAGACGGCCAATGGGCGAATACTCCCATTCATAAGTAGCGTTGCTTCCGTACCTAATAGTGGGGGGTCTCGTTTGTGATGCAACACAGAATTCTAGCTCAATATATACTACTACAACAAATACAGTAAAAATTGAATAAGTATTCGAAAATCAAAACCCAAACGGAGCATTTATGAAATAACGGAATCTTAATTCCGATTATAGCTTGACCAGTATTCAAAATTCCCTTTGTCAAATATAGAAAAGGAGACTCGATGAAAAGAAAAGAGATCCAAAAGTTAAAATAAACATATCAAGTTTCTTTTGTGATGTATCAAGGAAAATCATTTTCAATGATGGGGATGATTATTGGCCACTTATGTTAGAGATCATCCTGATAATTATTATCCAACTTTTATTATATGTATGTATGTATACATATTACATATGTATAAAGGCTTATATAATCTTGCGAATTATTTATCAATATGCTTATTCATTGATCTCACCACATTTTTTCGAATTTTTTCTTCTTTGTATCTTATTATGCGTTTATTATCGTTTCTGATTTTCTCTTTTTTCTTTTCTTTTTTTTTCTGTTATCTTTTAATACTTTACAGTTATTTGAAGTTCAGTTACTTATTCAAGATCTATCAGTCTTTTTCAATATAATTTTGTTAGTTTGTTCTTGATAAAATTATACAAAATGACTAGCGATACAAACGTTGATAGAGAAATTATCTCGATATTACACTGCAATAAAAAAAAACTGTTCTCCGTTTTTTAATTTTCAAAATTTTTATTTAAATTAATTATTTAATAAAAAAATTTGTTAAAATTGTTTAAATATACATGCATTGTCGAAATAATTTCTTAGTATTCATTTAATCTATTTAATCACATATAAATACGTAACTCTTGCGTATTTGATTTTTGCGCTTCACTGGCTACATATATTGAGGACACAAGAAAAGAGGAAGAGAAGGATGAAAGGTGAATCATGATTCTGGAATGGAGGTCGATTTGAAATGAGCGATTAATTTGAACGTAATAAATCGGGCAATTATCGATCGAAATTGATGAATTCTCTCGACTTATACATATCTATAAGTATATATATTTCAAAAAAAAAAAAAAACAAGGAAAAATTCATTTAAACTTTATTAAATATTGATTGAATGTTCAAATTTAGATATTGTTCTCGTATTTACAATGCAAAAAACGATTTGTAAAGATTCATGGTGCGAGATGATTGCTGATTGCAATTTACGTGTCCGCTTGGTTTAAATGATCGCGCGTAGAAAGGGGAGTCATGCAGGTGCAGGTCATGTGAAATATTTGCACTTTGTCGTAATTTGCGTAACCCGTTGCATATATAATAAATCCGCAAAGCTAAAGCGCCACGATAGAAAATCGTTTCACAATCTAAAGAGAAAGGGAATCTCTTGGTTCCGTGGGAGGGGAGAGATTCGAGATGCCTGTTGCTGCATATAAGTAGTCCTACTACATATTTCGTTTTGCCCTCTTCACCAAATTTAATGGGATTTCAGATTCAGCGTTGACAATTTCAGATCAAAGAATTTTCTTTATCATAGCTCTGTATCAAATCATTCTTTTTTCTTATTATCGATGGATCATCGAGATATTTTCTTTCTTTCTTTCTTTTTCTTAAGTATCTATAGATGAACGAAATTGGAACGAATTGGAAAGGAAACGACGTTTTTTTTCTTTTTTTTGCTCTTATATATTATAAGCAATATTAAAGAATATTTTTTGGAACATCAAAACTTGCAAGAATGGACACACAACGGATCGTATACAACGCAACAAGAGACGAGACGAGATGAGACACGTTAGTAGCCTTAGTGCGATGACGTCAGACAAGCGTTGGCGGAATGGCTATGGCCGTTCCCGTTCTCTAACGAGGAAGATCGAGAGAAGGAGATGGAGAGACACCAAAGGATCGCGCGACTGTAAGGAGCGCAACGGGACTCGAAGAGATAAAAGAACAATTTCTCTACTGTACACCCGCCTTCATTTTAGAATCTAGAATTATTTTTATTAAATTCGAAATCAATTGTGAATAGGAAATATTTCATCATCGTTAATAAATGATAAGAATTATCACGATATTGAAAATATCTGTTTTGTTTCTGTTCATACTAGCCAAATAATTTTTGACTGAACGGCAATGAAAGATCGAATTATCGCAATAAATAACACGCAGTAAAGAGGAGAACGCGATCGGTAAATAATGGTGAGAAAATCGTTGACAGTTGAATTAGAATAATCACGCTCTTGATTCAAGTGAAATGGAAAACGAGTGCGCGCGATATACACGGAAACTGCAAGAATGAGAGAAAAGTTGGAACGATAAAGGGGGCGGATACATGTAAGGATGTAGAGAAAGAAGTGTTCATTGGTTCGACAATGATGAACGAACGAACAGATAGAGAGGGAGAGAATGGGAGGGGGGGGCGTGTTTGATGGCCACCTAGACAGTTGGAATCGGTCGCGCCTTGGGCGTGAACCAGCCATAAGCAAAAGGCAAAAGTTGATGCGAGGGTAAAGAAACAGGGAAAACGAGCGAGCGTGTTGACGACAAAAACAGAGATCGAGTAACGTTGGGTCGCGGGAGGGGAGAAGAGATAGAGAGAAGAGCCGAAAGCGAGAGGAGGAGAGAGCCAGGAGCATGGTCTGTGGAGGGCTGCGTTCACCGGGCAGTTACTCCGGAACCGTTGCCTTGACGACACGCATTCGCGCATGCGCGTATGCGATGCCACGGGTGCACCACGATCGCGTCACGAGCACCAGTTGCGTTCACCACCCTCTCACCTTCACCACTATTACAATCTTTCCACCACCTCTTCTACTGGCTTCTGAAACTACCACTATCGGCGCCATCATTTACCCCATTGCTGCCTTGGATCCGCTATTGTTTGTCGTCGCTCTGCTTGCTCGTGTTTTTTTCTGTTATTATCGTTAGTGCTATTATTATTATTATTATTATTATTATTATTATTATTATTATTACTACTACTACTACTATTATTACTATTATTACTATTATTATTATCATTATTATTATTGCTATTGCCACCGTCACACCACATTACGCTATATCACATCATCACTACTGGTAACATTCTGCCTTAGACCATTTCGATGTTCTTATCGCTGTTTCCGGGTCTATCATTTTCTCCTTATCATTTGCATCCACCTTGATCGTTTCTTCTAGTTTCATTCTCAATTTATTTTTATATTATCGCTCTTCTGTTAATTATAGAGACATTGCATAAAAAGATAATCACGATAGATTATTTCGAATATTATTAGTATTATTAGTTATATCAGATGTATATCGATGCATATTCGTTGTAATTTCGTCGGTGTGATAATCGGTTGCATTTTATTATCAATTTTTGACACGAACAGTTCGAAAGGGTAATTACTACTCCATCTCGAGATTACCCTCTAGTTTTCGGTGATTGCATAGCACCGACCTTCGATTCTTCCGTTTTCTCCTTCCCCTACCTCACCACCACCACCACCACCACCACCACCACCACCATCACCACCACCACCACCTCCATTACCTCCATCACTACCACCTCCACCTTCACCTCCAGCTTCATCTCCACCTCCGTTTCCTCCTCCTGCTGCTCGTTTTCCCTCTCCTACGCTGTCGCATTCTCCACCTCTTCCTCTTCCTTCTACGCGGTTCGCGTATCGTTACTACGAGCGCCTGGTTGTCATGCGTCGACGGTGCTTGTGATAAGGCTCGACCGTATCGGACTGTTCTCGTCGATAATTTGCGATCGACCCGCAAATGTTTCGTTCCCTGTAATTCGCCTCGTCGTATCATAGTGATTTTACGTATCTTTTCCCGAGGATAATTTGCAAATAAGTTTCGAATTGTTCGTGCACAAGTGCGGCATATATTGATACAATATACTTTTCGAGTGTTGTTCGATTCGATTTGCAACGTCGATGATCTACTTGTCATTTCGTGTCGAGCGGCCCGATTATTATCCCCACGTTTTTGAAACCTCGACGGACGTACACGAATGTCATGCCGCCACGACGATAACGGCAAGAATTTGGAAGAGGAAACGTGGCTCGAGAAGGAGTATCGAAAAGGGGGAAGAGATATCGCGACCGATCTCGATATGCGATCGATCGATTTGATCGTCGATGTATGGTGACCGTGAACGATACCGTGATTCGTGATCCGCAACTGTGAACAGAAAATTATTGTGTTATTAAAACGGACAAATTGCTCATCGATAAGTCGATCGATCGATAAGAATATTAGTTAGTCGACGGATCGCAAGTGCGTTCAATGTTTTGCTATCGTCGCGAAACCTGCCGCTGTACCTTAGCGTTGGAAAGAACAGCGGCAGGTCGACGACGTTTTCGTTTCTCTCGGAAAGCATGACGCCCGATTACGTGTGCTAATAAATTGTGGAAACTCGGATTTCATCGATGTTGCAATTCTTCGATTGAAACCGCGATTGATCGATTAAAAAAAAATAATAAACGATCTCTCGTATCACGTAAAAAAGAGAGAGAAAGAAAAAGAAGGAGAGAGAGAGAGAGAGAGAGAGAGAGAGAGAGAGAGAGAGAGAGAGAAAGGGAAGAAGATACGGAATGCACGGTGAAAAATTTTGACGAAGAAACGTCGCAAGAATTTTCTCCGTTTTCTTTTTTTTTTTTTTTTTTGAGAAGAAAACATGGAATTTTTCGGAGTAGCTCGATACGATTACTCGTTGCTTCTGGGACGCGCCACATTTGCTCTCTACTTTCAAATCAAATAATAGAATTAATATTCCTCGATTCGAGAATCCTAAGATTCTCTCCCCTTTCACGAGTTTCAAAGAGGATTAGAAAAAAAAAAGAAAAGAAGATATGACATCGTGGAGATTTTGAGATCAACGACGAGTTGCCTCTCTCACCCCCTCGTCGATCGATGGCGCAATAGAAACGAAAAGTATCGCGAAAAATGATCACTCGTTTTATTGCTCGAAACGATCGTTCGGCTGTTCGATTCGAAGCGAGTCGCAACGATCGCGTATCCCATTCAATGTAGAGGAAGAAAGAAGGGTGAAGTTTGCGTTTTGGCCGAAGAAGTTCGACGATCCACAACTGGACCGCTTCGCGATCCGGTGGAATCCGGAAGAACGGAATTCGAAATTCGACTCATAATAATTGCGGAGCATGCTCGTCCGGAAGAAGGAAGGGGCAAGGGTAATTAGACTGACAGATATTCCGGACGGCGTGGAAGAATCGTGGAAGAAAGAAGATAATTTGATAGGACGAGGTGGGGATAGAGCCACCTTCTCGTTTCGCCGATTCTTCGTTATCGGTCGGGAGACGAGGGAAAAAGAAGAAGGAGGATTTTCTATGCTGGGATCGTAGCGAGGTCCCAGGTAAGACTAAATTCGATAGCGAGAGTGGATAGGGTCGTCGTGGGCAGGGTCGATAAGAAAAGGAGGAAGGAGGAGCGAAACGGATATTTAAAGATAAAAAAAAAAAAAAGAAAAGTAGCGCCCGCGTTGGTGTCGTTGAATCGTGAAAGGACTCGAATCGAAGAGGACGAGAATCATTTTGAAAATTGGATGGTTCGAAGGGGGTTGTTGGACGTGGTGAGGCCAATTTGGGAGCAGTTAGAGGCAAAGTCAGAGACGGAATCGTGTTCAAAGTTGGGAACGGGGAAGATTTCGAGGTCGGTGCAAGAGTTGGAGTCGGTGTTGGAGCTAGAGTTAGAGCCGGAGAAGCAACGTTTCTACGATTCTCCGCCACCACGGATGGACGTGAGCGTGTGCTGTTTGCCCGCCAGTGCCGGCTCGGGGGCCCAGCACCCTCATCCAGCGAGTTTGCCCTCCGGCGGACAGCCGACGATCCAGCAACCCTATCAGTATGCCGATCAGATAGTACCGGATCGGGGTCAACCCGACGGATTGCCGGTACTCGGTTGTACCGGTCAGGACAACTGGCAGCAGATATCCTCCGCCTCGAACGTGGTCGGCGCTGTTACCGCCGCGGCGACCGCCACCACCACCTACATCGATTACTCCTGGTTGCAGATGCAGGTGAGATCATATTTTCCATTTGTTTTTTTTTTTTTTTTGGTTACCATCGACGATTTTTATTATTATCTTGCATCGTTGTTGTCTTCGTTTTTGAATTTGGCGCCGCGTCTGTGAAAATTTTTTTCACGAGCTCCAACGATACGTTCGGAGTAGGATTTTTCGTGTTTTCTCGTCGATGGAAAGAGAGAGAGTATTCTCGGTTCGTCAGTGAAGTTAGCTGATTAATATGGAAATAATAGAGATAAAATTATTGGTGTTAAAGAGAGATTAATATTTCTTCTTATTATTCTGGAGGAAGGATGATTTGAATGCGCGATTTGAATATAGCGATGGTGTTTACCGCATCAAGTTTGTGGTAAATTTAATGGACGATAAATCTCTCGAATATTTACAGTTTCTATTAAAATTCCATTAATCCGGAATCCAATAATCCGACACACGTTTGATTAATAATCATAACTATACGTTCTATGAATGTTATTCCATCAACGTAATTTCTATTTCATACAGACGTATATTTTTATCATATTTAGACAGAAACAGCCAATAAACCGATATACCTAATAATTAATACACTATTAGAATGTTTGTGCAAGATAAAATTATTATGATCACGTTCAAAGAGAGATAAAAAAAAATGTTATCATCTTACTCTTCAAAGGATCCTTTGAATTCATTTCATTTTTCTACGAATATTCCAATTCATTTCATAAATTTTCATAAACATCCGCGATCTATCTGACGATCGATCTATTGCCAAATCCCGCAAGATCGACCCAGATAAGCAATTACCTCGATTCGAAGTATAATCGAGAAATTAATTTTCTCTCGGGCGAATAATACGTAGCGTGTTTGCGGATCGATTCCGAAAGAGAGGAGAGCATGAGATATCGTATCGATCCCGGGGCGACGTTGGATCGTAAAATAATAGAGCGAAGTAATAACGGCCATTACTATTATCTTGGCCCGAGTAATCGTTTTTTTTTTTTTTCTTTTTTTCTTTTTTTTTTCCCTTTTAGACGCGGTGGTGTTTCCACATAAAGCCGCGCGTTGTTGACAGGGCAAATATCCTTTGATACGGCGCGCCGTCCGTCTGGGACACGCGTCGCACGCCTTTCCACCTTGCCGACCAGCTCGATGACTGTACGAGTGCTCCCTTGCCCCGCTCGACCTTCTCTGCTCTATTTACATACATACGCGTTTATCCCTTTCTCTCTCTCTCTCTCTCTCTCTCTCTCTCTCTCTCTCTCTCTCTCTCTCTCTCTTTCTCGAATTAGTCTAAAATGATAGCGCACACTTTACGATTCTCGCTGTTTCTCGCGATTAAATACTAGGTATGCGCTCTAATTTCACGTGTAAAGAGTCGTAAAGAGTGTTGATATATCGGTATATGGGAGGTATGTTATAGGTCGATTCTACAGAGAAGTGGAAAAGGGAAAGTGTGAAGAAAATTTTAGAGGTTTCGTACAGTTTAGTACAGATTGGAAAGGTTGGTGTACAAAAATGATGGCTGTTTATTTAATTTAAAAGATTTGGTTCAAGATGCAAGCAAGACAGATCTTTATATAATTTAATAAATATATGTCAATTTTTGCGAAGTTGTTTTATTTTTTACTTAGTTTGAATCGATCTCATAAGTTCGAAACATTCGAATATGAAGTGGATTTGGTTTAAAAAAAAAATTTTCACTTATAAGTTTCAATGAGAAAACAGAAGGAAAGAAGTTTTCGAAAACTAAAAGTTTCGATTCTTGGAATTTATAAAATATAGAAATACAAATTTTCTATTAAAAAGTTTTTCATTCTTCTTTTTCAATCGAATAGTATATAGTAAATACTTCTTATATAATAAATATTCTTTCTCTATGAAACTTTTTATTATTATTTTATAGGTTTCTAAAATATCTATTTAAGAACATTTTTTACGAAAGTTCCTAACGATAACGTAAATTGAACGTAATTTCTTATCTTTCGAAAATTAGTATCATTATATTGTAATTATGTACGTTGTAATTATGCACGCTATTATCATGTAATTATTATAATTAAACTGTGATGCAAATTAATATTTTCATAAATATGGTCTATGATTAAATAGAATTTAAATAAAAATTAATGTCATCATTATTCTTAAATATATCATTACTTTAAATATTTAAATATTTTACATATTTTTACACGTTAATATGTACATTTTTGTATTTCAAATTACTTCTAAAAAAAAAAAAAGGATTTATTTTAATTCGTTTTAAACACGTTAAATTGAATTAATTCAACAAAAACCAAACAAAAAGAGAAAAAAATAAAATCTCGAATAAAATTAATAATCAGTTTTTCGTGTCGCGTATCTACCTAATATTCATTTGGTCATCGAATCGAAACGTGCAACGAATATCGGATCGTCGATGAATTTACGATTAAATATAATAAACGCTGATCGTATAGCGCGCGCGTTACTTTTAAAATCCACACTTCCCTCTCAACGATCGATTAGAAATCGACTGTGAGTCTAATTAAAGATTCGAAAGTTTAATTCTTTTTTTTTTTTCCTCGATCGTATCGATCTAAGGCCGATCAGAGGCGAGTTGGTTTTTGTCGAGCATCTTTCGACCGCGAATCATTACGAGTTTTTCTACGAGTGACGAGAATAGACACGTGGTTGTGACTAGAGTGGAAAACCGGTTCTCCGTACCGTTACCGATGCGATAAGTTTTGGTAGGCGAAATTCGCGCATTTGTATCGCGCGCCAAACGATTCCATCGATATCTCGGTTATCGAGAAAATTTCGTAAGCGAGTACACACATCGATATACTCGATAATCGCGAGTTTCAGCAAATATATCTAAATTTTTTTTCTTTCTTCGAAAGATAGTTTCGATAAGACGATATTTTAAATGGTCTCGTTATCTATGTACTATTCAATTTAATTTCTATGTGTTATTTTTATTTTTTTTGTTTCATTCGTTTAATTATTTGACGCGAATATACGTATTTCCACTGTGTGTACATTTGATTCATATTGGAGAACATGCAGTTTATATGCTGTGTAACAGTGCATAAAAACTATTGCATCAGTGTTAAAAGATTATTTTGATTTATGGAATTTAAGGAGAATGATTTTGAACGTTTTAGTAGAATATTAAAATGGATATTATACCGCTTTCCTTACTACATATTTGTGATCTTTCGTTCAATTTTTTGGTACAACACTTATCCTGTTTAAATATTAATTTTTATGATATATCAATAAATTTGATTCTTCTTGGTTAATTCAAATAATTCAAAGTTCATTCAAATACACGAATTGAATCTAATTTACTTTTCGATTTTTAACGTAATACGTTAGACTATTGCATAGCATTTTTCTTTTGTAAAACATCTTTGATTCTAGATTAAAACGTACGAAAACTTGTAGAATCTACATTATACGAAAAACTATAATCCCCTTAATCATAAAGATCTAAGCATAAAAATCCACACAGTTTAACAATAACTTAGAAGTCGATTAGAGTCGATTTCATTTTTCCAAATTACATTCAAAATGATTCGAATTTTCGGCAAGATATATATTCAAATCGACTCGAAGGGTTTCAAATGCCATTATTGGAGAGAGAGAGAGAGAGAAAGAGAGAAGTGGAAAGTATCGGTTGGAGCGTGGCAAAGGAGAATCGCGGTTGTACAGAGAATTGGCTGTAAATTTCTAATTAGCCGTCACCGGAACGCAATCTAAAACGTATTGTGACGCGCATAAGATAATAAGCGGACGGAAATCCACGATTATCGTGGTCAGGCAGAAAGGGCATCCTGACGACGAGCCACCGGACGAGCCATTTCCACGGTTCACCGCCCTTCGTTTCAACTCTACGTATGATTATATCGTTCCACCGATTATTTTGCTCGATGCTCGAGCAGAAAACAAACGCAATTAACATTAGACACCGAGGATCGGGTCGAAAATATCGGTGGACGATCTTGTTTGCTCGAAGGGAAACTCTCTCACGCGTTTAACGTTACGTACCGGGATCGTTTATATTCGAACGTGCGTATATCCCCATCCAACTGTATTCATGGCTGTTTCCTTGTTTTTTGATTGTACATCGTCGCTATTATTAAATTGTTGAATTTCGATTATTAAAATTCAGGATATTTAAAAAATAGTTTTTTGTAAATAAAATGTAAATAAAATAATGTAAATAATGTAAATAAAATAGGTCAGAGGTTTTCATAGAAAGTATTCGAAGATATGGTTAATTTTTGGAGAATTAGGTTAAACTTCTTCGTATTTTAGAAAGTTCCTTCGTCAAAAGTTCTCCTAGAAATCAGGTATTTGAAGAATAATTAGATTGAAATTAATAAAAAATAATTACTATATTGATATAACAAAGTAATGAAAAGAAATTAAAAAAAAAAAAAATATAAGAAGGAAGAATAAGAGATTGCAAATTTTTTCTTACGCAGATATCGTATCAGATTGTTGTATTATTTTTTTGTCGTCAGAAAATTTCTCTCCTTCAATTGTTCTCGAGAGTATCTTCCTCAAGTGGATACTCCACGAGAGTTTCAACTTTTAAGAATTTTACTCTCAAATGTATTCGCCTTATAAAATTTGCAAAGATTCGCGATATCGATGTTTTCAAGATGTATCTATTCGTGGAGATGGAAAGATAAAATTGACGCATTCCTCCCGGTGTATCTTTGACATTGCGTGACAGGAATTTGAAAAGTTCATATCCAATGCATATCACTCTGCTCTCAGTGAGTCACGGTGAATCGTGGATGAGTGGCTAGCTGTGTGGTTACTAACGTCGTATGCGTTTGATGTACAGATGGTCATTAGTACCTGGAATAATGATAAACATCTGTAGATAGATACTTAAACTTTTTTTTTTTTTTGTTTAGGGTGCGAATCCATTTGAGAGTAAAACTCACGCGAGTTGCTTTCGATGATCATTTTTCATTAATGAATGATAATCGTAATAGTAATTGTCACAAATAGGAAAT